GTAACTCTAACCACACTCCTGTATTTCCAACTCTATTTGAATTTTTCTCAATTTAACAATTCTTTTACTTATTTTAGAAATATATAAAAATAATAATATATAATGTAATTTATATTTAAATAAAATTAATTATCTTTAATGAATGGATAATAAGAAATAAATAATTGTCTTTAAATTATAATACATTTTTATTTTTAATTTACATTTTTAATTACTTGGTTCTTGAAATTTTATATTTCAATTAATATTATTTAATATTAGTCTCATTTTGAATATATAAAAATAATAAAAAATAAAAGTTATATAATATAAATAATATTAATAATATTATTATTAAATGTATTAATATAAAATAGGAATTCCGATTAAAATAAACAGACATTGATATTACTAAATCCACGACTATTACATAGAAAACAAAAGCATGAATTAAAAATTACATGACAAATAGGAAAAACATAATACATGAAAAATACTAAAAGTCTGGAAAGTCAACTCCTCCGTATCCACCTCCTCTATTACTTATGTTGATTTTAAATTACTAGTTACTAATTAAGAAGGATATGGAAGTAATTCCTAATTGTTTATAAACCATTAAAAGGGCAAAGTGGGGATTTATAAATATTTTGCAGCCAGCTGCAAATTTTGGAATGAGACTGCATATTTACATCCTCATTCCCTCCGGCTGCAAAATGCAGTCGGAGATGGAGGACGGTTGGAGCTCCATGGGGCTGCAAAATCCAGTTTTGCAGCCCCGTTGGAGCAGCTCTTAAGGAGGGAAAATAAAGAGAAGAAAAAGGAAAGAAAAGAAAGGAATTAAATCATGATAAGAGTGATATTGTATAACAACATCTTCTCATGAAAAAAAGTTTATGTAAATCAACAAATTTATAGCTGCAAAGATTATACACGTGTACAGTAAATATCTATACATCTATACAACTTATAGTAGAGAATATCCATGTAAAAACTTTTCATTTCCCTTTTTACCCTCTTAATTTTTTATCTCTCAAAATTATACCATTATTTATAAAACTAATGATCCATAACCTCTCATTAACTACACGCTGTTTGGATCAAAAGTCGATGTTTTTATTGTTTTGAATCTATTACAACTTTAGTCGTTACAATAAACTCAAATAAACGAGAAAAGTAGATCTTTTTATAAGATCGACTTACACAATGAAAATGCAAAATAGTACAACTCTTGTCAAACAGCGCAACAGACGTTTATCACCCGCTGCTTACGTGGGAACTTCGTCTGTGCTGTGGACGTTAATATCCGTGAACCGTCGCGGATCAAATCCGATTGACAGATTAAGTTGATCAAAACTCTTACTTCACGAAGGAAGTAATCACAACAGCGGTAATCTCAACCAAGCGAGATCACGTCTTTTCTCAAAATTTAAGACCAAGCTTAAATCCGGAGGAATAGGGGACGGGTCTCAGATCTCTCGAACTCCACTCTTTATGCACATGAATTCACCAAGATCTGCTAACCCTCGCTGTAAATTCGTGGCACCGCTCTCCACTTCGGCAGCGTTTCGCCCTCTTGATCTCCAGCCCCCATGAAATGAACCCCGAGCTTGTATTTATAGGCTTCGGTTGGGGAGTTTTTGGATAAAAAATGATAGATTCAGCCCTATCTTCAGTTAATAACCGTGTAACCACATTTGTGGATGATATCCAATCAGTTAGGACACTCAGAAATGAACAAATTCTGAGAAAACCCGTCAAAATCGAAAAGAATGCACTTTCGGATCGAAACTGGCCGAACCGTCGTTTGGTGGCTCGGCCTTGCCGGGCCACCAAATGGTGGCTCGGCCCATGGCCGAGCCACTAGCCCGGTCGAGTCGTTTTGATGGCGACTCGGCTGAGAGGCTTTCTCGGTTTTTCGGGTTCTAACTTGTTCCGTCTTTATGCGTATTTCGTCGTTTCGTTGACTTGTACGCGTTTTTGGTGGCCGATGAGCGTGTGGCATTTGGTGGTGGCCGTGAGCACGCGGGCCACTTGGAGCTAGCTGACGAGTATACGGCCACTTGGAGGTGCCGGTGAGTGTACAGGTCACTTGGTTTGCCGATTGGTGGTCGATGAGCGTGCGAGCCATTGTGTGTGGCCGATGAGCACGCCGGGCTACTTGGAGCTGGCTGACGAGTGCACAGGTCACTTGGAGGTAGCTGGTGAGTGCACGGGCCAGTCGCTTGTGCCGATTTGTGCCGATGAGCGTGCGGCTACTTGGTGGTGGCGTGAGCATGCGGACCACTGGAGCTGGCTGCGAGTGCACGTACCACTGCGAGAGTGGCCGGTGAGTGCCGGGCCAGTCGGTTCACCGATTTGGTGCGCATGAGCGTGCGGGGCCACTTATGGTCAGTGAGCACGCGGGCCACTTAGAGCTGGCTGACGAGTGCACGGGCCACTTGGAGGTGGCCGGTGAGTGCACGGCTAATCGGTTCGCCGATTTGGTGCTGATGAGCGTGCGGGCTACTTGGTGGTGGCCGATAAGCACGCGGACCACTTGGAGGCTGGTCAGGTGAGGCGCACGGGCTACTCGGAGCTGGCTGGTGAGCGCGCTGGCCACTTGGAGCTGGCCGGTGAGTGCACGGGCCACATGGAGCTGGTCGTTGAGCGCGTGGGCCACTTGGAACTGGCCGATGAGCGCGCGGGCAACTTGGAGCTGGCAAGTGAGTGCGTGGGCTACTTGGAGCTGCACAAGCCACTTGGAGCTGGCCGGTGAGCACGCAAACCACTTGGTTTGCCATTTTGGTGGCCGATAAGCATGCGGGCCACTTGGTTGTGGTCGGTGAGCGCACGGGCCACCTGACGTTGGCCGTTCTGGTGGTTCGTCGCCACATCATCAACGTTTCACTGAATCGCTTCATGCGCTTGTCGGTGTCAGATGATCATCTTTAACTCGAACAGTCCCCTTCGACTTGAATAATGGCGTTCATTGCCTTCTCTTTTGTCTCGAGCTGTGTGCGAACACCTATAGGCATTTTGAGATGCCTACACGCGCCTTTTCATTTTCTCAAATTATTTGGTCATTCATTAGAATATATTAATAATTTATAATGATAACAAAATTCGTAAATATATGTTAATTTATTATAAATAATTATTAATTATATAAAATATAAAAGTCATTCATTTAATAAAATAGTGCATATAATTATAATTATTAATAATAGTATAAATAAGAGTTGCTTCTTTATGTTGTAAAGAATATTACCTTGTTCGTTAATTAATATCATTTTAGTAATAAAAAATTAGACTTTATAAATTAAAAATATTTTAATTTTAGAAAATTAATTTATATAAAAATATTAAGATCCATGTAATTTATGAGACATATACTTTTCTCTTCTTTTTCCTAAAATATTTGGTCACTCGCTAAAACATATTAATAATTTATAATGATAATAAAGTTAATAAATATATTATAATTCATTATAAAAGAATTATTAATTATAATGAAATAGTAAAATTATTTATTTAATAAAATATTGTACTTAATTATAGTTATTAATAATAGCATAAATAGGGGTTGATTCTTTATATTGTAAGGAATACCACCCTTTTCGATATTATAATATCATCTTAGTAATAAAAATTGGACATTATGAATTAAAAATACTTTTATATTATAATATCATCTTAGTAATAAAAATTGGACATTATGAATTAAAAATACTTTTATTTAGAAAAGTTACTTTATATAAAAATATTGGATTTTTGAATTGGACATTATGAATTAAAAATACTTTTATTTAGAAAAGTTACTTTATATAAAAATATTGGATTTTTAAAATGTATGAGTCATTCACTTTTTGTTGGAAAGTAAATGTCTCATAAATTTCAAGGATCCATTATTTTTATATAAAGTACTTTTCCTAAATAATAGTATTTTTAATTTATGCCATTCAATTTTTATTACTAAGATGATATTAATTATCGAGTAATGTAATATTCTTTACAACATAAAGTCATATAATATTAAAAACTACTGTCATTATTTAATAAATATTGTAATAAAATATGTCCATAACATAATTATTTAATAATATAAATGGTTTAATTATATCAATAGTGTTAATTAAATTAATGATTACATTATTATTTAATAATTATACTCCTAAATAAATTATTTAATAATATAATAATAAGGTAATTAAATAACTATTAAATGTGTGTTAATAATATTATAAGTATTAATTATAGTATAACTTAAATTTTTTTAATCACAGTGCAATTAAATAACTTTGTAAAATGTTTAAATATAATTTATTAAATAGTATAATATTAAATACAACAACATGTCCATGTGCAATGCACGTGCATTAGACTAGTATGCTAAAATGGGCAACTCCTCTAGCCTCAAATATTAGGGGCTGTTTGGATGTTGAGGAGGCCTTGGGTATTTCTGACATCTTGTCAGCTTTCCACCCAAATCGCACCAAATTTTTTTGAATTGGGTGGAAAGCTGCAAATGTCAGTGAGTGGCTGCTGGGAACAACACTGGAAAATTTCTGACATCTTGTCAGCTTTCATCTCGTTTCCCACTCAAAATATTTGAACCAAACAGCCCCTTAAGGAGGCTCTGCGCACCTAAACTTTTCACTGTACGTCAATTTAAATCAAAGAACCAATTAATTGCTTATGCATTAACCATTTGCACATATTTTCTCACTTTTCCTGATAAACTGGAGATGATTCACTAACAACAGTTCCAACAGTAATCGTAAGGGAAGCAAAGGTACATAGATTCGGGAATTTTTTTATATCCTCCACTCAGTTGGTGGAGGACAATTCTTCACATAACAAGCATCATTTTCCCCGCTTAGGATTAAGATCTTAACATACTAGTTTGTAGTTTGAGTACTGTTCTGATGAAAAAATATTAACAAATAGGTTATTACAAAAGTTCGTACGTAGTGTCAATATATCAATCAACTTGTGCAAGCAACACAACATTTAAGTTCAATTATACATATACATAACACAAGTACAGCTCAAACTATAACATCTGTTTTTATTTATTTATTTATGCATACAGAAAAACACATAAGCATGACACAAATTAAGTTGCTATAATTTTTCCAAGAAACTAGGCTAAGCGATAGACTTCCAACCCTAAAACCTCTTAAAAAATTTCAAGTCCATTTAGGCACACCCTAACCCTATAGGGAAGGCACTGGCCCATCTGTGAATCCATGAAATTAAAAGACGTTTTAAATTTCAATTAGAGCAAGATTAGGAGTTTAGCAAAAGGAACCCTCTCTGCTTCCCTAAAAACCCTCTAATAATTGAGAAGTTATGCGAACATTACTAAGGAGCCAAAAGGAAATTTATATACTCACTCATGCCTTGATCTCAACTCTTGAGCACTTGATAGAGCCCATTTTGATGTCAATCTCAATCATATTATCCTCTTCATTGATTTCTGACAGTAAGTCTAACAATCCATGCTTCTTGAACAATAATTCTGGCGAGAACTCAGGCAAGAACTCCGGAAATAATCCTCCCTTTGATTCTTGATGAAATACAGCATTTGGCTCGTCTTCAAGCGCAATCTCAATGAGGCTCTCGTCATCTGATATCGAATCTTCAGAACTCTCCATCTCGGATGATACATCGTCACCAGGAACTGAACAATGCGAGTTTTGGTCACGGCTCAAGTTCTCTAGATTTTCATTAGAGATTGAACAATTATCCTTCTCAATGGATGGGCATTCGCCATTGAGGACTATTTCGTCCGTCTTAAGCTCACTGATTTCTTCTTTAACTGTGTCGGCCTCTTCACTAATCTCTTCCACTTCTTCTATTGAATGTCTTAGGCCAAAGTTCTGCTCCTCCATAAAATTGGCCTCAATAAACTTCTTGATCTTTGAGAAGATAAAATGAAAAGAAATCGGTAGAACCAAAACTAACAAAGTTGAAGAGAATGAGCAAATACAATAACCAAAAAATCTTAACAGAAGAAGGGCAGCAATGAGAGAAAATGAAAAAGCTAGTAGTTGGTGTTCGAGGGAGAAAGAGGGAGGGAAACTCATTTTGTACATAATTTAGTATTTCCTTAAATCAAACAGTGGGGGGAAAAATAGAAGCAATCAACTCTCAAGTAATCTTTCTTCTTCCTCTTCTATATTTGATCAGTAAATTATGCTCTAATCACCTGCAAAGAAGAGCAAAGAGAAAGAAGAAGCACTCTTTATCTTCGCTTGAAAAGAATGAGTGGAAGAAGTGAAAGATGTGAAAGTAAGTTAACTTATTATAGTCAGTTAAAGTTTTCTACTGCACTTAATTACTGTTTTTTATTCATTTTCTATTCTCTTCACACTATCCTAAGTATATTTAAAGATTATTTATCTATCTTATTTTCTCTTCCTTTTTTGCACCATCCAATAGGTGGTCCTTCCTCTGTTACTGATTCTTTTGGAGGAATCGAACCCTACATAGTCTTCTACTGTATAGGGTTTGAGCTCCAATGGCTTGGAGATTGAAGAGGCCATGTGCTGGCCTTTCATTTTGACACGAGCAAAAGGACCACCATAACAAAAAGTCGAGATACTTATTTACTAATATTTTGAAATTCCTTTTGTAATTCCTAGGTGAACAAGTAGATAGAAATCTATCTTTTCAGGGTGTGCTCTTCAAATCAAGGAAACCCATCATCCAAAATCAATTTTTTTTTTCTTTTCTTTCCTCAGTAACACCTATCATTTTACTGTAAAATTGCATCTTTGTTTCACTTGGAAGCTTCATTACACGCTGGAAAACAGCAGACAGCACAAAACAATTAAAAGTCAATAAAAAAAATTACCACTCACAAGCTTTGCTTCAAGTCTTCAGAATCCCTCAAGCTTCAGTTTTCAAGCACTGCTCTGCGCTCTGAAAATTTTGGCTCTGCAACTGATTTTAATATCAACCCACCGGCACAGCACAATTAAATTCCTGCGATTTTATTATTACTGTTGTCAGATAGTGGGGAACACAAAAGTTTTGAACAGAATTTCTATATTCATCTCATACAAACTTAACAATTAATTAGAATTGGTGACAGACAAATAAATAAGCTGAGAATCATCAAATGGGTTAATTATGGTCATGTTTGTAGGCTTTTGTCTCTTGTTTGTGCCACTAATGATGGGTTTAGAGAAATCTCGATTAATTGATACTCTGCCATGATAGCTGCTAGTTGATTGAATGTCCACAAAGTCTTTGGGTTTTTGAGGTCTAAAGCTTCATCATTTCTTTTGTGTTTGTATATTATCTAGTTCTCAGTGTGGTTCTTCAATAATGACAAGATATCCTCACTCTTTAAGAAATGCTCTTAATCAACTTTTGGTCCTGGTTTAGAGAATATTATGTCAGTTAAGAGTCTCAAGAGGAATCATGATATGCTTCTGCTGACGTGATCCTAGCAATCTGGTGTTGTTATGAAGTTATTTGGAGGGATTTTGACAAGAAATAGAAGGTAAACTGGCTAAATCAGTAATCATAATCACACCACACAAGATGTTCAACACAGAACAAACATGTTACGTTTTTTAGCCAGAAATTATCGCAGATCGCCGGTCGAACCTATCAATTTTATTTATTAATGGTAGGAATAGCCATTAAAAGGTTTAAAAAAATGTAGGGAGTCCCCATAACGTTTAAACATGTATAAAACAATATGTCATATATAAAAGTAGGGTCTTAAATTAATATAACTGACAACCAAATTTAGCTGAAATTACAGAGTTCAGCAAGTGAAGAAGAACGGTCCTGCGTGCGTCAAGGGCGAGGAAGCTCGCCTGCGGGAGGAGGAGAAGCTCGCCTGAAGCGAAGGGGCTCGCTTGCGGGCTAGTGTGGAGCTCGCCTGCGGGCGAGGTGGTTCAAGGCGTGGAGCTCGCCTGCGGGCGAGGCGGTTCGAGCTCGCTTGTGTGATCATGAGCTTGCCTGCTCGTGATTGTTGGCCTTCTTGTTTTGATGATGTTTAACAAACAATTTACCACTAATATTGTTTGTCTAGTATTACAAACAATTTACCACTAATATTGTTTGTCTAGTATTTGTATTTTCTTATTTATTATAGACAAACAACGAGTTGGAGGATGGATGGAATAGAGCTTTAACGATCATATCCAATGGAGGTTGGCGGAATTGTGGAGTGAAGCATCGTACAATTCAAGTCCAAGATCCAAGTTTAGCTTCATTGTGTTAAGTACGTTAAGCTCAATATCTTATACACACACATTTATTGGTTTCTTCGTATATATATATATAGTTATATATATATATATACATAAGTTTTTGGTTTCTATGTATATATATAGTTATATATATACATACATAGTTTTGAGTTTTCATGTTTATAAATATGAAATCACATGTTTCATATTTACTATTGTGTTTTGGTATTTATTGCATAGAATATGCAATTTTGTGAAAATATTGTATTCTTAGTTTATAGACTTCAATATCAGTTTATACATGTTTTACTAAGTCTATAAAAACATTTCACAAAGTTTCAAAAGTTGGTTTATGTCAAAACATCAAAATTCAAGTATCTCATATTTTCATGTTTTGGACTAGTTTGTAAAATGATGATATTTTTTATTTGGGAAGTCCTTTTTCGTAACCAGTCATTGTAGCATGTTTATTATCATGTCTACAATCATTCCCCAAAGTTTTACATTTTTCTGAATTTATTTGATATTTTTAAACAGTGTTTTAAAATCAGCTTTGTTTTTCTGGGATGTCAGTTTTCGGTCGACCGGTACGGTCGACCGGTCAATTGACCATTCGTCAGTATTTTTCCAGAGAGTCGTCGGTCGACCGGTCCGGTCGACCGAGAGCTCAAATCGGTCGACCGACAGAATTTCCGGTCGACCGACGTTAGTCCAGAAAGTTTTCTTCGTGTTTTTGCTCTCATCGGTCGACCGACGGAATTTTCGGTCGACCGACAATATAGCCGTTGCTTTTTAACGGCTCTTTCTCTGAGCTGTTTGCTGGGGTTTTTGGTCATTTCGTTTTGGGGTTTTTGGCTGAGCTTTGAGTGGGTATATATACCCCATTGCTGATGTCTTTTCAAACCAACCAAGAGAGTTTTAAAACTAGTTTAAGAAAGTTTTAATCAAGGGTTTAAGTTTGTTTTTAGTGTTTGTTTAAAAAGCTTTTAAGCATTTACAAGAGTTTGATTTGTGGAGCAAATTTCACAAGAGCAAGTGGAGATCATCCTTGGTGTTTGAGCATTCATTCTTCTCTCTCTCTCTTGTCATCTATAGAGAAGTTTCCTTAAACTCAATTCTAGCATTTTATAAGTTTGTTCTTAATTTAATAAGCTAGATTTCATATTGAGTTTATATTGTTTTATCTCTTTGATCACACACAACCTATTGAGCTTATTGTATTTACATTCATAGTATAATTTGGGGTTGTGGGTTTGTGACTAAGAGTTGTGCTTAATTGAGTTCTCACCTTGTAGAGTTGTGCCTAATTGAGTTCTCACCTTATTTAGAGAACAATCATTTGTTGTGCCTAATTGTGACGATTCACTTGTAATACACTTGTACACCGAGAGAAGTGTGTGGTGAGAGACGAGGTCGAATCCAAGAGGAGTGGCGTCGGTTGACGTGCCTAGGGAGAGGTTGTAACCGAGCACTTGAGGAGGAGGACACGGGCTAGGACCAACACTTAGTGTGTGAGGTGTGATTACATAGTGATTGTATTGTGAGGTGTAAACGTTGTTCGGGTGAACGTAGAAAACCCGGTTGTGATAGTGGAGATCTCCTCGAGGTGAGGATCGGAGACGTAGGTCGTGGGGACCGAACTCCGTAATCATATTGTTTGTTTGTGATTGCATTGACGCACTTACTTTTATGTTCATATCTTATATCGCCTTTGTATATTGCTTGTTGATTATGTTGCCCACTATCTAGTTTAGATTCTTTACCCTTGAGTTTATATATCCTTGCACATACATTGCATATATCTCTTTGTTAGTATATATCTTGTTGTTCATTTTACTTATCCTAGCTCATATACATTGTTGTATTTCATACTTGCTAGGATAACTTGTTAATATATTTTAATTGGCATTTAAATCGGATTAGATTAGCATAAGACCCTAACCACCCCCCCCTCTAGGGTCTAACAATTGGTATCAGAGCTTGGTGCTCTTTGATTTAAGGTCTAATCGCCTTGAGTTAAAGATCCAAGTTATTTTTTTGTGCTAATCTTGTTTTGACTTTATTTGTATCTTGCTTGCATACATTTTCTCATTATGGACATACATTGTGCATCTTGTTTAGGCTATGATCCTATTGTTGCTCCTAAAATAGATAACCTCCCATATGACCAATGGTGTTCTAGATTTAACATATTTGTTAGATCTAAACAATTCGATTTATGGGAAGTTATTGAAGATGCTTATATTATACCCACTTCGGAAAAATCCAAGTGGAGTAACAATGATAAAAGAATGTTTACTATGAACAAGCTTTTGTTAGAATATTTGCTTAATGCCTTTGACTCATCCTTTTCTAACAAATTTTTTCATTTTGATAGTGCTTACAATTTATGAAAATTCATAGAAGCACATCAAGGCAACTTGGAGGAAATCCGACGTAGTTTGGAGGATTGTTCTTCAAGTGAGTGTGGAGCATCATCATGCACACGGCCACTAGGCGATAGCCCTAGTGTGGTAAGCGATTCGGAATCCGATAGTGATATATCCATCAATGAACTCGCATGTGCATATGATAAGTTAATGCATGCCTACACTAAGTTGCATAATAATTTTATTGATCTTAAAAGCAAGCATGTTAACTTAAAATCCGATCATGAATTGCTAGCATCAAAATTTGATACTATTGCTAAAGATAATGTGATCCTTAAAGAAAATAATGAAAAATTAAAATTGGATCATATTACCTTGAGTTCCAATGTTGCTAGCTTAATTCATGAGAAGAATGATGCCATGTTAGAAGTAGAGTCTATTAGAAGTAAATTTACATTATTTAAAAATGATCATATTTGCTCTACTTCTATTGACAATGCTTCTATGCCTAATGATGAGTTGAACAATATTAAAAATCGCATTTCATCTTTAGATTCAACTCTTAACACATGCATTGTTAATAACAAGAAACTTATGGACTTATGTGCAAAGTCTCGTGCTAACTCTTCAAAACCAAGCACTCACTATGCACATATGTATAGCAAAGTTTACAAATGCTCAATTTGCGGTCGTAAAGGCCACATTGCTAAATTTTGCTATGATGCACACAAATCTTCTAAGATTAATGCTTCTTGTGCATCTCATAAGGCTTCTTCATCACACACACATGCACATGCATCTATTTCTCATCATAAGCAATCTTCAGTTGCAAATAATTTTCGTGCACGCTCACTTGGTCAACACAAATCTTTTTACTCTTTTCATTGCACGAATTGCAATCGAAAGGGTCATTTGAATGAATATTGTTTTGACCGTGATAGTGCATCATATGTGTCCAAGAGGGTTCATAACCCTAGGGCTTTGAGCTTCATTGATAGGGGTCATGTCCCTAAATCTTTTGGTACCAAGAATACTTGGGTACCAAAACAAATTTGATTTTAAACCAAGAACTTTAGTGTTTTTATTTTTTTGTCTTGGTTTTAAAAATTATGTTTTAATAAGATCTTTTTGTTATGAAAATAATTGATTTTAAACCAAGAACTTTAGTGTTTTTATTTTTTTTTTGTCTTGGTTTTGAAAATTATGTTTTAAGATCTTTTGGTTATGAAAATAATTTTTTCTTTTATCAAATCCTTTGTTTTCATGATTATTAGTTTTGATTTTGATAAGAGGTTTGTATTTATATAACCCTCCGGATTTATTGGGTATTTATTCCCAAATCATGTTTACCGAATGCTAAAATGATTATATGGGTTGAAACAAGCTTAAGAGCTTGATATATTGTTGCCTCTCTTGAAATTCTTTTGTCAAAGAGTTCGTTTTGATTTATTGCTTTGAATTCATTATATTT